ACTTTTTTTCTCGCAATTGCGAGTTTATATCACGCAATTCTGACTTTATTTCTCAGAATTCTGACTTTATAACTCGCAATTGTGAGTTTATATCACGCAATTCTGAAAAAAAAAGTCAGAATTGTGATTTTGTATCTCGCAATTCGGACTTTATATCTCACAATTCTGACTTTATAACTCACAATTGCGTGTTATAAAGTCAGAATTGCGAGATATAAACATCAGAATTGCGATAAAAAAAAAAGTCAGAATTGCGTGTTTTTATCTCACAATTGTGACTTTATAACTCACAATTGTGAGTTTATATCTCACAATTCTGTGAAAAAAAGTCAGAATTTTGAGATAAAAAGTCGCAATAACCTTTTTTTTTATTCAGTGGTGGTAACGGGCTTCCATACTAATCTCTGTTGGCCAGCACAGATTAGTTAATTCCTTAATTTAAATGATCATTGGTTAATTAATGATAAAAGTCCCTCATTATAATAGTGAGTTTTATCTCTTCTATAAACATCAGATAATGTACTAATTGGAATTGTCTTTTTTCAAGTGTTTAACTTCATATGAGTACCTGGCGTCTTACTCTTTTGTAATTTTCTGAGACTACCTGTCTCCAGTTTAATCAATAAATGATCTCAAATCACATCTCAATTGACAGAAATGAGATTAAGTGAAGAGCAAATGGAGCCAAAGTCTCCTGCTTCTCATTTTTTCTCCTCAGAAAAAGGCCCCAGTAATCTCTCATCTACTCTATAGTATCAGAAGAGAGCGCAATGTCTCAAACCATGCTCAAATTTGTCAAGATCGAAATCAAAAATCAAGAGATCTCAATGTGCATTCAAACATTTCTAATCAAACTACACCAAATGATCTGAGCTCCTGTCTACTCTTACTGTATAGTCAACAATCCAGGCAGTGTTGCCTTTTACTTCCTCCATGGAGAAACATCTGAGACAAAGTTGATGTAGTCTATTGAGCTATGATCTAGCAAACTCTGAGCAATAAAAAGAGCTTTCTATTAAAAAGATATGCTTGCTGTTTTAGCAGTCTTGATTCTGGAAAGAGAAACTGTTTTTCTCTGCTCCACTGGAGACAAGAGGAATCTAGCAGCATGCCAACTTACTTGTAGATGACAGATAATCGGAAAAGGACAAAATAGGGCAGAAAACATCTCTAACCTCCTTAGATTGAAGGAAAAGCATCTACTGTAAGTTTAAACAACTTTTACAATTACAAAAGTACAATTACATATACAGAATGTGAGCATTAAATTAATTCATTTGCTTTGAAAGCAAGTTTATCCCATTTGTATTGAGCGTGTAATTAGAGATGCACTTTGCAAGTGTCTCCATCAAATCCACCAATTTCCCAGGATGCTCTTGGCTTCCTTGAGGAGCTTCGGTGTCGTTCTTGTACTTTTGTACTTTGTGGCTCCACTATTATAGCAGCGCAGTGGATAGAATGTCTGCATCACTTAATTGACATTTGACAGTTCAACAGAAAATTATCAGTTGTTTTTCAAATTAGCACCATAATATTTTAGCTTACTTAATGCTAAAATACTAAAAACTGTACTATGTTACATTACTAAAAATAATACAGTCTAATAGATAATTATCCTGAACAAGTATCAAATTGTGCTTAAATTAAGCATTAGAACTAGTTATAGACAACATAATGGCATAATCAACACAGATTGATTATTCAGGTAATATTTGGCAATTTTTACATCTAAATTAAATAACCAGTTTCAAAATGTACTTATAGCCTTTTAACCGAACAATTAATTATATATCTATAAACAATATATTTATGATGATTTTGAGTAAAAATTGTGTAAATTGTTCAAAATAAATACAATTTATTTCCATCAATATTCTGTAGTACTTGTCAAAGTATGATAGACACTGACAGCAATCCTGTACTGAAGTAGGCATCTCTAACCTCATTCCTTTAACATAACCTCACTTAGAAGTGTTGAAAGACACCCTTCAGCTTTGCCCAGTTGAACTGAACACATTATGTGGATCACTGGGTAAGATAACTGCATTTTTCATACATACAGCAGCTATACTGACAGCTCTGAGGTACAGCTCAATTACTGTCTGCCTCAGCCGGATCCCTTAATAAACTAATAATACTTCTTTGAGAGAACTGTTTCTTTAAGGTTCTGGATGTGAGACTACTTGAAGCGTCTAATCTGACTGAATTACAGTGACTCAGCAGACTTTAGGCAATATGCTCTAAAATGAAATATAAAAATGTCTAGCTGCTCTTAACAGGGTTAGTTAACTAAAAACATTTTTTGTTACTTGAAATAAAATAAAATATATATTAAAAAAATACTCATTTTATTTCAGATAGTTGCCAAGGCAACAATTTAAATTTTTATTTAAATTAATTAAAATGTATTAAAATCTGCATTTAAATAATAATAATAAAAACACATAACAAAATCAAGAAATTGCAGTGAAAACAGAAAATATAAAAATGAAATCGAATTCAAATATTTACAAAAATTATAATAGTACATAAATGAAACAAAAATAACACTGAATCTTAAACATTATGGGATATTTAGCATGTATACAGGCTCCTGATCTAGCACAAAATTATAAGCGTAGATTAAGCAAGCATATTCATCATCATTAATTAGTCTATTTAAAAAGATATGCTCCTATCATTTGCATCCTCTCCAATTATATAAAACAACCTACTGTAGAGGCTAAAATAACATCCACATTTCTCATGTTATTATAACTGCATCAATTTCATGCAACCTGTTTGTAGACAAACTTGTTCTGAAAGTGACATCTAGTCAATATCTATGCCTTCTTTCAATTATCCGCATCACAAACAATGCTTTAAACATAAATCTGTGCCTATGTACATTCATATTTTGTTGCCATGTCAAAACTTCCAAACACTCCATCTGAAGTCAATGAGTTCATTCCCTTAGGCGGACGACGGCATTCTCAAAAAAGATGCACTTTTCATCATCCTTCGTTTGCATCATAAATACAACCTATGCAACCTGTGCTGTGTTTCTCTGCCAGGTTTTTGAAGAAAATAGATGTCACGCAGAACGAGCCTCTTTGCATCACAGATGGCCCTCCGAGAACATTTCAACAAATGTCCCAGTGGACAGACACCAGCCTGTGGATGTTATTCCAACCTGCCAAAGCGAGGCTGTAGCTGCTACAAGCATCATTTGATCAACATCTCCCCTTCTGCACCGGCTCGCATTGACAGTTCTGACAAACATCCCAGCAGGCCGATAACAGGATCGTTATATGGTAATCGCACGCTTGATGCCACCCTGCTAGAAGTGAATTCAATGCATAAAGATTGAGACTCACCTTAAGTGCATGATTTGAGTTGTGATGCTGTTTTGGTCTGCAGGGTTTATCCAGGGAGCTGTTGGTCCTCCATCATTCCGTGTGATTCGCAGCACATGCACTGAAACGACAAGGGATGCATGTTGTCATGCCCTGAATTCCATGCAGAAGATGCTTGAATCCCTTTAGAACTGAGCTGCTTGCGGTCTGCGCAGACAGCTGGATCCTCAGCAATACAGATCACCAGGAGGGAATAACATAAAAAAAGGAGGAGCGGCAGGGAGCTATTGCATGTAAGACGAGAGATTTTGAAGCAAGAGAGATTTGATTCTTCGCACTTACCATAAACACTCCCTCACCATCCCTGATGGAGAGCGAGGGATGATACCGGGAGAAAGGAGGAGGGGAGGGTGGCATGCGCACACATATGCGCAGGCAGGTGCACATGCATACACACTAGGATCTGGCAGTTCTGCGGGATGCGTGAAGCCTGGCTTCTATCCTGGGTTGCCTTGTGGGGGAGACAGAGGAAAAGACAGCTATTGTGGCCGCCCGCTGGTCAATGCACCGCAACTGCATCTCAGTCCCACAGCATCACGTCATCATCCTGTCTATGCATTAAGTAACAACCAACTGCATACATGTACTCTACTCGTTACATAGCTCTTGTTTATTTGGAAGTGGTTCAGGATTCACATAGCATGCTGTTCCTTCCATATGGTTGCTGCTAGAAACTGCATCACTGAGCATGATTTCAATAATACTGCAGAACAACATCATCCTAGTGTAGTGCATGATTTATCCTCCAGCCCTACAGATGGCGACGGAGAGCTAAGACGGGAGAACAAAATATAACATGACTGATGTTAAAGGTGCAGTGCTTCAAACAGAATTGCACAAATGCTGTTTTCAAATAAGATTTCCAAACATTGCTCCCACCTGCAATTTTTTTATGACGAACTAGCAGTCTCAATACAGCAGTAAGCAGTGCTATAAATAATCCAAGAAGGTCTGTAATACCTGGAAAGAGATATGTTAGTAGTATATTGAACATTCCTGCGCATTTTACGCTTTTAAGAGCCCTTCAAATAAAAATGAACAAACAAATAAACAAGTAAATAAATAAATAGTATTTGTACAAATGAAAATACATTTAGCTCTGTGTATACATTTAGTTTTCAAAACTAAAATAAAACTCAATATATATTACATTATATATATATATATATACACACACACACATATATATATATATAGTTTTGGAATGCAACAGTATTAACAATAAATAAATAAATAAACCTATGGTGAACCTTGGCGTTACCGACGTTGGGTCACTAACCTAGAGGAGGATTCGGACAATCTGGCAACAACTCTGAGGAAGATTCGGACAATCTGGCAACAACTCTGAGGAAGATTCGGACAATCTGGCAACAACTCTGAGGAAGATTCGGACAATCTGGCAACAACTCAGAGGAAGATTTGGACAATCTGGCAACAACTCTGAGGAAGATTCGGACAATCTGGCAACAACTCAGAGGAAGATTTGGACAATCTGGCAACAACTCTGAGGAAGATTCGGACAATCTGGCAACAACTGTGAGGAAGATTCGGACAATCTGACGTCTCTTGTGCCAGTATTGTTGTTATTCTGTTTGCCCTATATTTCCATATGTTGCGTCACCGCCAGCTGTGTGGATTCATGGAATAAAGATCCCGATTCACTTCTGTCACATGAATCCATATGCTGTTTACTTTACAGGACGTGCAGAATACATATAACTGGACTGTTTTCATCGACAAACACTAGGTTTGGCGCGTGGAGCGACCCATGCCTCTGCGTTTCTGTGTCGTGTCGACTCTTGTTTAAGGATTTAGACGGACTGAATCATCCTCTGTGGGTTGTTTTGTCGGTAAAAGAAGCTGAAATGTCGATTGAAAAACAAAGCGTGTCCGAGGAAAACCTTCAGGGTATGTAGCTATTAAAACAGCTCGAGTTAATGTGCTTTTATGCACGTTTCTACTCAAAACCACATTAATCATACCACAATGTAAATTAGGCCTATATTTTTTTTTTTAGGATATAATACGAAATTAGATGACGATCATTCATCAAATTCCGGTTTCACATAAAATTAAATAATTGTACAAGGCTTGTTAATATATAACGGCATAATATGTGGTAAGAAGAAACAGGTGTGGGCAAAAAAGCACAGTAATGACGCATGTCACCTGCAATAACAGAAATGGAAGCGACACGTTGTGCGATTTGTAAACGAATCATTCTTTAGAGCCGGATCTCTTGAATGATTCGTTTAGGAATCGAAGTGAACCGTTCTCGATTCGGCAACTTGCCGACTCAGTGAACGGAGAACCGAATCTTTCGAACGTATCCGATTCAAAACCGTCTCTTTTGAACATGTCCGAATCTTAAGGAGCCGAATTAACAACCGATTCTGACTACATTTACATTTAGACATCTAGCAGCCGCTTTTATCCAAAGCGACTTACAGTGCATATACAGATTAGTAGCGCTTTTTTAATGCATAACCCGAGAACAGATAAGGATTTGATTGGGCAGTATTTTGCCAACCAACAGAAATGCAAACGTAATGAAAATATGTTAACGAATTGTGGCGGTTTAATCAACACGAAGTAGTTTTAGTACTGATTTTTGTAAATGCAAATACCCTTATTAATATAACAAACAAAAATGAAGAGGAAAAAATAAATTCATTGGGAAGTAAGACACCACGCAATGACGCAAAGAATCACTAAACCATTTTAACCGGTTCTTTGAAACGAACCGTCTGAAAGAACCGATTCGCAGAAAGAAGTCCGCATCACTCGAGAAAGGTGGGGTTTACACACAGCCTGATTTCATTGGATGCTGAGTGAAGCAAAAAAAATAAAATAAATAAATGAATAACCTTCTTGCCATCATGAGCTATTTATAGTCAGAGCTGTGTTTATTTTCCTCTGGCTGCTGGGTTGAGTCTCCAGTCCTGGCATGTTCTCTGATATTCTGGTCGCTGTGTCATGATCACTGATTCATGCCCAGCCCAGTTTTCAATGTCATTCGATAACATATTCATAACAGGCTAAGACGTGATGCTTGCAATACATTGAGCAGTTTTTGCATACTTAAATATATAAATAAAACAAATAACAATGCTGCTGCCATAGCAATGTCAGAATTATGAAATTCAGCTTTTGAAAAAAAAAAAAAAAAAATCTAACATTTATATAATAAAGAACATCCAAATGAGGCTAACCCCCACCCGCATGCAACACTAAAGACCTAAAGATGTTATCTGGCTTTTGCTGCAGGTTCCTGGGTGGAGCTGCATTTTAATAATGGAGGCGGCAGCACTCCTAAAGGAGGTTCGGAGGAACAGTCTGCCAGCACTGCCCCAAGCGGAGACCTGGAGAAGATGCTGCTGGATGCTCAGCACGAGTCGGGCAGGAGCAGCTCAAGAGGAAGCCTGCCATGTGAGAGGTCAGCAGGACCACATTTTAATTTAGTGCATGAACTGCACTGAGATGCACACAAGATGTTAAATTTTATAGGATGAGCATGTTATAATAAAACTTGCATCAATTTTCTCACCAGTCCTCCAAGATCTCGGACTCCTTCGCACTTGAGCAGGGGCTCCGAGGTCCACAGCTCTGGAGAAAAGAACAGCTCACAGGTAGATTTTAGCAGCACTTTTAACCTTGTCATGATTCAATTAAATTGTACTAGTGCAGGTGTACTACTGCTTTCATATAGACTTTCATGCAACTAGATCAATTCCTTATGAAGTAATATTCAAGGTTCCCATGCTCAAGAAAAAAGAGAAATTTAGAAATAGAGATAGTAGAAATAGAGATAATAGAAATTTAAAATAGTGGTTTCCTGACCTAAAAATCAAGTGAATGAATACAATAAAAACAAAGTCATTGGAAATATGCATTTTTTTATGGATCTAAAATATTTAATCAGCTACAGAGTTTGGACCCACTTTAATGTATTATTAATTGATTAAGTGTCTTTAACATCTTAGTACTAACATTTAAATGTTTTGATACAATGCACTTACTGTGTCCATACATGTCTTTACATTGTGATAACATTAAAATATAATCATGTAATAATATAATTCCTATAATAATACTCTTGACCCACCCTTAAACCTACCTTACCTTAACCACAACCTTATTCCTCCTCAATAGTAGCAAAAGTGTTTTGCAATACAACATGAACACAGTAAGTGCACTGTACTCAACAACGTTTTTAACGCAAGTACATTGTAGTTAAAGACACCCAAAAGAAAGTAATTATTCCAATAAAGTCAAAGTCAATTAAAAGTCATGGATATTTATAGGTCAAAGGGTATGGGATCACTTAAAGGTGGGGTAAGCGATTTTTCAAAAACGCTTTAGAAAACTGATTCGGGCCGAGTAGTAAAACAAACTTGTAGCCAATCAGCAGTAAGGGGCATGTCTACTCATGATGTGGAGGAGAGAGCATTCAGTGCACTGCACAGCACAGGATGGATAGAAAGATAGAGATGGCGGATAAAAAACAAAAGAGGAAAACGTCTGCGGAACAAAAGGCGGCAATAAGGCAAGAAGTAGGACCCGTGTAAATATCGGATCAGCTTTCCAGCGCTGGAGTGTCAACATTGGCTACCAGAAATCGCTTACCCCACCTTTAAGATCACTGTAATGATCTGACTTTACAAGATGGCCAATGAAATAAACAACTAGAAACATGAGAGTTATCTGTTAGCCATCCTAATTTTGCTGTGGTCTGGTTTAAGTCAGAGGAAGACTATTTGGAGAGGAGAAGAGAGGTGGAGATCCTGATGAAGAAAAATGCAGACTGGATCTGGGACTGGTCGAGTCGACCGGAAAACCTGCCACCCAAGTACCTAAAACCTTAGAAAACATAGTTAAATACACGAAAAGCATCTTAACGAGTTCAAGCAGATGATACAGTAAATTATGTGTTTGTAGGGAGTTTGTGCTGAGGCACCCGAAGCGTTCCAGCACCCTCAGCATGAGGTTGTTAATGTTGTTAATGTTAACTAAAATCTAAAAATTATGATAATTGAAATGAAGCTGAATAAAATATAAACATCATATAAGAAACATATTATATATACACATCAGGGTTGCTCTTAGTGTTATTTTAGTTTCATTGATATACTATTATAGTTTCTATAAATATATAGTTCTATATAGTATATTTTGAATTAGACAACATTTTTATATTTTCTGTTTCCATTTTAACGTTTTAGTAATTTTGTTGTGTTTGTCTTTTTTAATGTAGTTTTAGTTTGTAGATTTAATTTATTCAGTTTTTGTTACTTAAACTTAAAATTATAATGAAAATGTTGCCTTGGAAACTAGCTGAAATAAAATACTTTTTATATTTTATTTCAGTCAATGCATTTTTCTTTTCATTTCAATTAATGAAATGTTTATTATGGTTTTAGTTTTAGTTGACAATAATAAACCTGATTGCTTTGGCAGCTAACTGAAATAAATTTAAGTTGAAGTACAGAAATGACTAAAACAGAAATAAAAATAAAGCTATATAAAAATCTAAAACCCCCAAAATAATGAAAATGACAAGCACATAAAAATCACTAAAACAATCTAAAATAAAATGAAAACTGGAAATATAAAAATACAAAATATGAATAAATAGTATAATAGTATTGTATTAATTAAAAAAAAGAAATAATGAAACACCTCAAATAAAACTGCTACATTCAGGTCATATTAATTTTGACTGACAAAAAATAAAAAATAAATAAATTGGTAAAGAAACAGCATAAACTTGCATTAAAAGAGGAAACCAAGCCATCTCCAGGGAACAGAATATTTTAAAGAGCTGTGGGTGGTTTATATCAACTTGGGCCAATAAACAACGGCCCAAAACATCACAGGCACACCCTAACAACCACATAGCAATGTGGCAACAGCCATGCACAACTTCATATTTTCAAGAAATTCATAAATCAAAGACTGCTGTGCAAATGTATGATCTTAAACGTTGTATTTATCAATAAGGATATTAAAATACTAGATATGGATTCTTTAATAGTAACAAATCCAGGGTTATTTTTGAGTCAGCAGTGGATGCGGTCTGCGTGCTGGAATGCATGCTAGCGCTCCACAGGGGTTAGCATGACTTAGCAGTTTTCTGCTGATGGCTCACAGCTCTGCTGACGCGAAAACAAGTCCACTCATAAAGGGCGAATTCCAAACGGAAGTGAGCATCCCTATGCTCTACTCCCTTCGAAGGGCAGAGCCCTTGAAGTGTGTTCTTTGAAGGGAATAGGGCATTACTGTCTTGTATAAGCATTTGGAACTCCTTTGGCGAAGGGAATGACTGACCAAATGTTACCTTGACAACGCTGCGCGTGCGTGCAGCATTCAGCACTCCATCAGTTGTTGCAAATAAATATTTCTTATTATTATTTTATTCAAATATTGTCTAATTGGGTCTTATTTACTATTAAACTTTTTAAAAATAAACTTGCTTACACTACCGTCTTAAATCATATTTCTATCACTGACAAAAAATATGCTCTTACATTAAAACAGACACATTTAATTAGCCTATTCTATTTATGTTTGTATGCGTTTTTGTTTAAATTCCTAAATTGATTCCTAAAATCAGTGTGGAATGATAGCTTATTTACAAGGGTGTAGAAGCACCTAACCCTAATCGTAAGCCTAAAACAGTTATTTCCTGAAAAGTTATCTCTCAATTCTGATTGGTTAATTGGAATGTTGTTCCAGGAACATGTTGTACTTGGTCAAATCATGCTCACCTAGGGGTAATGTACTCCCTCATGACTGGTGTCAGTGTTATAAAGTGAAGCATCAGCTTCAGCTTTTCCCCGTCGTTTATCCCAGCGTTTACCCCTCACGTCACTAGCTCCGCCCTTGCGCCATAGCTCGTGACCGGAAGAGAAGAGTCGTCGTTTTGAGGGGGAGGCGAGGTTAGCGTTTTTGATTAAAGATTACGAGGGCACATTTAATAAAAAAAAAATAATGAAGTGCATGGATAAATTATTTATAATAAACACTACAGTATTCCATTAAAAAATAAGAATTTTCAATTTTGATTTCATGGTGACTTTAAGACTGCTTTCAAAGCAGCCGAGAATGGAAAAACCAACCTGGAGGAGAAAGCTGAAAGTGCATCAAATGCATGTTAATGTGTTACATACAGTGCCTTGCGAAAGTATTCATACCCCCTTCATTTTTTTTTTTTTTTACATTTTATGTTGCTGCCTTATGATAAACTTCTTTAAATTACTTTTTTTTCCCCACATCAGTCACTACACTCCATACTAACAAAGCAAAAACAGAATTGTCAGTTTCTCAGAGTCTGAGGGTCCTTTAGGTGCTTTTTTGTAAATTCTAAAAAACTGAAGAGAGGATTGAGTTTGGCCACACCGCCATAAAGACTGGATTGGTGGAGTGTTGCAGCGATGTTTCTCCTATCTCCACATATGATCATGTAGCTCAACTAGAGTGATCATCAGGTTCTTGGTCACCACACTAACCAAAGCCCTTCTCCATCAATTGCTCAGTTTGGCCAGGAGGCCAGCTCTAGGAAGAGTCCTGGCTGTTTCAAACTTCTTCCATTAAGGGTAACAGAGACTACATGCTTATGTGACCCTTCAATGGCTCATCAGCATTTTGCAATTATCTGCCATTCTTCACCTCTCAAGCTCTGTTAGGTTGGATGGGGGCAGATGCCTATTTTCAGGTTTCTCCAGAAATATTTGATTGGGTTCAATCCCAGGCTCTGGCTGGGCCACTCAAGGACATTCACACAGTTGTCTATAAGCCACTCTTGCTGTGTGCTTAGGGTCATTGTGCAAAATGAATGCTCCTGAGCTAAATTTCAAATGTCCCAGATAAGGGTATGAATACTTATGCAATGGAATCATTTTAGTTTTTTATTTTTAATAAATTTGCAAAGATGTTAAAAACCATTTTTTTTTGCTTGACAATTATGGTGTATGGAGTGTAGATTGTTGTGGACAAAAACTAATTTAAAGCAGTTTAACATAAGGCAGCAACAAAACAAAATTTGACAAAAATTAAGGGGTACGAATACATTCGCAAGGCACTGTAGTATTGTTCTTAAAATGACCACCAATGCTACATCTGATAATTAATAATTTCATATTTTTAGGGTGTACATCGGAAGGCGCTTTACTACTGCTGGCACCTTTTGAGGGAGCAGGAAAAGCCAAGAAACGAGACAAATCTCATATACGCACATCCACCATCTCAGCTGCTTTGTCGTGAATCTGTGCTTGTGTAGACGCAGATAGGACGAGGTAATGCGACATTTCCTCTCCCCGGCTGTGGGCCACTCTGCCTCGCTTCCCCCTTGTGTATTCCACTGGCCTTTCCCATAGTTCCTCTCCCATAATGCCAGTCCATTTTAGGGCCATCAGCACAGAGAAGGCCATGCTAGACTTGATAGAACTAGATGTACTGCATCCTCATTTTGCATTTACTCACACCAAGACTACTGAGAATATTATGAGGATCATAAAACAAGAGATGGGAAAGAAATAGGGGAATAAAACTTGATCCAGAGACGTGGTACCTGAAACTGCGAATTGGGAAGAGATTTAACTATCTACCCCTTAACAAAACAGGAATTTTACGTATATCTCAACATTTGATGATATAATATAGGACTTGTTTTACCTTGTCACCATTTCTCTGTATCTTGACGTTGCATCTGTATTGATGAGGTTTCAGACTCCAAAAACGGACCTTTGCTTTGGGAATCAAGCTGTTCACAGTATTATACAACTGCAATGGTCTTTAGTAAATACTAGCCAAAAAGCCGAGTACCATATCAACACTTTTCTGAATGTCAGTCACAAATAAATGTCCAATATACTTCAAGCCTAACTTGAGAAATTGCTGAATTAAGTTTGCCTTTAGTGCTCACCTGAATTGCAATCACAGATGTTCTTCGTTTATCTGAAGGGTCCGGGTTCCAGCCCAAAGATTGCCTTAAATAAAACTGTTAATGAATCAGGCAGGAGTAAAAGGGAAATTGTGTAAATTTGTGCATGTTTTGTAGTCTTTAAAAATCGTATTCAGTGTGTGTGTCAATTTCATAGTGGTTTTGTATCAACAGAGGGAATCAGCAAATAAATGTCTGCCAACTGTAACACTTCCCTTGGAATCTGTCTTAATATTGCAGGAGATATACATTTACATTACCATTTTAAAATTTGGGGTCAGTAAGATGTTTTTTTGGAAAGTATAATTAATTTGAATCATTGAATTGATAAAAAAATTACAGTAAACACTATTATAATGTTGCAAAGAACTATTCATTAAAAAAATGTATCAGTTTCCACACAGTTTCCATTTTCAAAATTGATAAATGTTTCTCGAGCAGCAAATCAGCATATTAGAATGATTTCTGAAGGATCATGTGACACTGAAAATTCAGCTTTGCATCACAGTAATAATTTACATTTTAAAATGTATTCAAATATAAATAATATTTGTAATAATTTCACAATATTACTGTTTTTACTGTATATTTGATCCAATAAATTAATCTTCGGTGAGCATAAGAGACTTCTTTCAAAAACAAATCTTACCGACCCCAAACTTTTGAACATTAGTTAAATATACTTGCACACAATTGTGACGTTATGTGCCACTGAGCCACACAGTTTTACACGTTTATCATTACATAGTCACATACTTTTATAGAACTCAATATATAAACTGTACTGCACAAACAATATGCAAAATGCAATCTTTCAAAATGTTTGCTAAGGCCACCTGAAATCATTTGAATAAGTGTTGGGCAGTGTGCCGATTCAGATAAACACAATTAAAATTTTATTTAACTTTGGTCAAAAATAATCAAACAAGTGTACACTTTCACAATGTTAGCATCATCATCATTTAACAAGGAACAAGGTCTGAGTACGTATCCGACCTGTCAGTTCCCAGATTTAAAGAGCGTCACAATCAGCTAGAACAACAACTTTGTACTCATCAACCGTTAAGTTACGTTTGTCATTTTGACATCAGTTTTGCAGCCGCATGTCAAAATTCAGCAGCACACAAACTGTATTTTGTCACCGGTTCCTTTAAACCGCATCCTGATGCGAGATAAATCCATTTAGATCAACTTCCACGCGACATACGTTTCTTTTGTGCGCAAGGAATTGAGCACAAGGAGTATCTCGACATCAGGATGTGATCCGTTAACTTTGATTGACTGGAAGAAAGCCAGTTTTGTCTCAAGAGGCACTGAACACATCGGTTTCGATTTGAGTGTTCTGTGACGGCCGTCACCGACCGTACAATATCTTGTATATTAGTGTCCAAATACAAAGCCGCACAAACCGTAGCAGCACATGAATGGACAAATGGAGTGCTAAAATAAAAAACAATGCATGTAGAAGGTAGCCGAGTGACGGCGATGGGATGACGAGATCATCTAGTCCTCAAGGTTACCGGGTGAGGATTATTATAGGACATACAGACAGACTTAAGGCGGTAGAATCCCTTTACGAAGTAAAAACGAAAAAGAAAAACGTAGTATCAAAATTAAAACTCTAAAGCGAAATAGACGGCAATACTGATGCTTTTCATGGCCAATGTCCTCAATCAAACAGTGCAACTGCAAATTCAAGTAGTTCAATATGGAGATTTGCTTCCCAACCAGAACATTATGAGGGAATTACGTTTGGTTTGGTCTTTTTTTGAGACTCGTCTGACATACAAGCAAATGCTGTATTCAAATTTAAAAAATCAGGCCACTTTCTTTTCGTCGAAAGTCATTTCAATCGCCCCCTTTTTTTTGGGGGGGGGTCGAATTCCCCAATAATGTAGCCGAT